CACACACACACACACACACACACACACACACACACACACACACACACACTTAAGTGGACATTGCTGGCATGTGATAGCTTGTGAGCTGGTAAGAAGGAGGTGGCAGTGCGAACACTTTGTGGATGTCACATTCCCACTGTGAATGGAGGGGGATGTCACATTTTACCCTTGAAATGGCCATCTCACAACACACACCCCTGCCACACCTTGTAGTGCCAACACACACAAAACCATACACCCATGGTCCATCTGGTCGTGGTATACGGAATGAACTTGAGCCCCTCTGTAAGCTCTGTGTTTTGGGCATTCATGCTTCACGGCTGAGGGTGATGGGAAATAAGGGAGCAGGAGAGAGATGCAGAGTGTAAAAGGCAGTTCAAGTTAAATAGGTATAGGGTCCGTAATCTTCTTAAAAGACAGTGTTGATGTTTTTGTTGAAACACTTCAACAGAAACCAATGAAACAAATGCTCTGACAAAAAAGGATAAACAAATCCGGTATCTTTGGCTGATGATTGGAAGGGCTCCCTGACTCTCTACCTACCTGCGTGTTATGCAATGAGTGCTTCTCTTTCTCCATCGCTCGACTCCATTGTTACATTACGATGGAATAATATAAACATGTGGATTGCACGGCCTTGGCCGAGCATCACAGTACGACTGACCCCTTGGACCCCCTACTTCCAGCGCCCTTCTGATTCAACATCTTCGGTGGAGGTGGCCTCATCTGACTTTAAAAAAAAAAAAGCATGTATATACTGTATATACACATACATGCATACATATACACACACGCACGGATCGCCTCCACAGAAACTGTGCCACTCTGTTTGTATATTGCTGGATAGTATCATCGTATAATGAGACATCATATTTTAATATCTATATTTTGTGAGTAAAATCTGAATCTGCAACATCACCACTAGCATTTCTCGGTCAAGTTAATGCAGCACTACAATGTTTTCCTCTGATGTAGAGGTGCCCAGTAAGTAGTATACAGTCAAATTGCGTGTTTTTTTTGTGCTCTGGGGGCGTTTTAGTAGTTATTTTTGGGCAATAATGAGTTAGAATATTAGCATGATTCAATATTTTTCACATCATAATAAGTCTATAGCTGTTAGGGGGCCTTTTAGTTGGGACCCCAGGCCCAGGGAGCCTACTTTGCCTCATGTTAAAGTCTGGACCTGCTGTTTTTCCTGTGAGCCAGAGTAGAGGCCTATTGCACCGGTGTTTCTGACTGCGAGTTGCAGCGACCTGGGTCTGTGACACAACTATGTCGTTTTGTCATCGTTTGTATGAGCTGTTCATGAGAAACACCACAGGTCGAACAGTGGGCCCGTTCTGAACCAGCTTGTTTTGAAAGGGCACTGCACTAGTATAGTCAGATCAACTCACTAGCACACAGATACATGCTAACAGGAATCCTAGCTTATTCTGCCTGCTGGGTTTTTGTAAATGAGCCAGTTGGAGTTCGCTCGCCGCAGTCCGAGAGCCAAATTCTGTTTTGTTTATCGTTGGGTTTACTGCTAGCCCAACAGTCTGCTCATTGTGCTCCCTGCTGTCCCACGTGAGCTCGTTTACATACGGCTCCGTTTCTTATCTCGGCTTAGTCTCGCTGCCGGGGGTCACAGCATTCAGGTTTCTGAGGTCAGGAGGTCACGTGATGTCAAAATGTCTGGCCAAGTCGTCAAGGTTTGTCATGTTCTGACTCCTACGGTTAAAACAGATGCTGACAGCATGTTATAGTGATGTTTGCTCAAAGCAGACGGACTAATGTACTGTGTGAGTGTGTGTTTAAATTTTTTAAAAAAGGCACTGGCTGAGTTGCAATAACTCAAAAACAGCTTTTTCAAAACATGCTTCCTTGTCATCATTGCATTGTCAGTAAGTCAGCCAGGGACAAGCAAATGAGGAAGCCAGCAGTATTCCTATAAACTGACATATTAGAAACAAAGACAAAGACACACACACACACACACACACACACACACACACACACACACACACA